TCTAGCTCCGATACCAAAACCCTTAGCAATTTAACCTCGAATGCTTCCTGCAAAACGATGCATGAGGAGGGTTATATAGTGGCTTCAGACCGACAGTGTTACATGCTCGAGAGTTATCACCGTATTTAATCTGTCTGTTCCGCATGAGTGCTCTCTCATGAGTGCAGGTGTTGATTACTTGGATAATTTACCCGTGTATTCTTTGTTCATTGTACTTTTCCGCAGATGTTATTACTGCTTAATGATCTTACAGTGTGTTTTTCTCACTGTCTGAGACTCAGTTCCGGATCAGATTCCTACTGTTTGGTAACTGACTTGGACCAGTGATTTGTGTACATGGCTAATAGTCCCAACAAGCGCTATCACACTGATTAAAACACAATGGACAATAGATAATGGACGCTCATTATCTGTGACAACGCAAAGGAAAAGTGCGATTGAAGACGTGGGGTGTTACACGAACACATGGTGATGCGAATCTGCAAGCTGCAAACATTTCAACAATTCTCGAACGGCATAGATTTTATTCATTAGAAATTTCGCAGTTTCGGTAATCTGCAATGAATCTTTGAGGGCGTTTTTGTTGAAAATGCTGCAATCGGTAAATTTCGAGACAAGCGAACAAGCCAAAGTTAATTCACGCAGCGAGCCAAAAAGACTTGAATTTACCTCAGAGCCAAATCGTCCAACATCGTGATATTAGTATTTGGATCTGTTGGAATTCCAGTTACGTAGTGGCCCAAATTTTAGTATTCCTCACTTCAAGAACAAAAAATAACGTCTAATGTTGCTCGATTGAACATTTCATTTGATGTGAACAGATCCCACATATTTGTGCCATTGTTTGCCCTTTAAAGCAGTCTGTTTCAATACGGGGATGCTAAGTAGTCAGTATCTTAAGTTTCCATCCACTCGGTCAGAAGAAGAAAGAAAAGGTTGCATTCTAAACTATGTTGCTAAATTTTTGATGAGACACTTATCCACCTATTAGATCAAAACCGTGCACTTTCTCCAAAATGCTTGCAGTTTTTCTTTGTATTATACTGGTGGCTCCAGGTTTTCGTCGGGATCAGCAAAATAGTGCACATTTGGGTAATTTTCCTTGTTTGTCTTATTCATCTAACTTTATTGAACGTAGGGTGTTGTTCACCATGTACGTCAGTACATCCCAGTCGAATTGCCATAATCGACCAAAGTTCAAAGCGCCTTTGTGCACGTACCAACCAGTACTGAAATAGCATTGTTCCAATTTTGGATTCACCAGGCGGGATGCAGGACTATTCAAATGAACAGTTTGCGGAAATAAATATTTCGGTGAACTACTGTATTGTGTTTATCTTCGATTTCTGTTCAGTATTGTTTGCTGTGGTGTTTCGGACGTAAGCGCGCCCGGTGCGGGATCCGAGGTGGGGGGGAGGAAGAGGCAGCCAAACATTTTGCCGTGTTTGTTTTCCGTTGTTTCACTTTCATTATGTATGCATTTGCTGTCTCGTAGATCGCAGTTTTACTCCGATAGATATATTGATTTGTTATTGCCAAACATCAAGCCTACTTGAAATGAAAAGAATGTTTCAAGGGGGAAATTCGTCATATATATACATTATATAATCAGCTGTTGTATTTTTGTCGTTTTCCGGGCACAAACGATACTTTCAAATGCCTTAATTGACAGTAACTTCGGAGGTATGCGGGTGACACTAACCTTCAGAAATAATTAGCATTGTTAATTTTTGTAATAACTCTGGTGTTTTGACAGATAAAACCCCTTTTTCTGAAGAAATTGCCGATCGCAGCAAACCAACTGTGATTACTCTCCTGCACGATGTTACTTTTATCATGCTCAACCTGTATCCAACGTCTCATATAGACAAGATGTTGACACACCTAATAACTCTCCATCAATGAGGGTTTTATGCAAGAAACTACTGAATGTGAATCACCAAAGTTGCCGAGATAAATGGTAAATCCCCTCTCCAAATAGTATCATATATTATACATATTTGTATTATTGTTATACTGAAAAATCGGTACCTATAGTTGGGGAATGACTTAAGTGGTCTGCGTTGAATGATTGCAATTGTTTGATTTAGTTTTGTACAAATGATTCGTCGTAGACAATAAGTGGGTTACCAGTACCCTGGTCTTCTTGACCTGATAGAATACACTTGATGAACAATAATTTACTATTTATGTGCAACTACAAATCCATGCAAGTCGGGGACTATCACGTGATTTGCGACCGCAACCGTCCTGTTTGTTTCATGGCTGGATGTTACAAAGAATGGAACCGTGCTTACGTTCATCAGAAAACTGGTTTAGGCATGAGGAAAGTGTGATTTGACTGGAAATAATGCTGGTCCCATCCCATAGCCGCTTTCTTTCTTTTGACGGTCTAGTTTTTAAAACAATTTCGAACCCGTTTCCATTGCAACTCCTTTTTTTATGGGTGCATTCCAACCCAAACCAATTATCACATTTGCCTCTGACCCAGTCACGTGTCAAGATCTCGCCCGGAGATTTACAACTGTTGGCAAACGCTTTCACAGAACGCAGAAGAAGGTGCCTAATTCAACTACACCCCTCTCTCTCTCTTGCTCTCGCTCGCTGCACTTGAACATTCTAATTCACTTGTCAAAATGATACTTCAGCTTGTGCCTGTGAAAGTCGTAATTTGTAATTCGTTTTTCAGCCTATTCGATGTTCCTTATGGAGCAAGCCGTCCGCATTGTGCATTGTTAACAATGATATGGTTGCTTTTTCCAACTCCTTACTATGTTGAAACTAGCAAATGTCGAGCAGAAAACCCCTTTGGGAACGATTTGATAAAGTTTAATATAACATCCTAAAGATAGGAGTAAATAACGTGTACAACAGCTTTTGAGACTCTCGTGTCATAGTCTGCATTAAGGACGATTGTTTGGACGGGCATTTTTAGCAGCGCTTGCCTGTCTGTGCTGGAATCTCAATCGCGCTCAGGATTTCAAAATACCTCCCCAGAGCACTACTAAAACAGATGAACGTCTTGTTTTCAAAAGCGTCTAGTTCACATGTAAGAAAAGTGTGAATCCCGATTAAGTGACACCCAAAAACGTAGCACAAAATAACCACAAGCAGTAATAATGCTTCCAGGACCAAAATATTATAATCCAAATAGGTGATGAGAGTAGCAATATAATGAGGTTTTCTGATCGGATATTGCTTTGTGGTGAAGAGCATTCCAGAGAATAATGATGTGCATGTCATGTACATGTGAGGACTGTGGTCTAAGAAATAGCACTCACTCATCCCGTACTTTCACATCATTCTGACTGCCTTTACTGTAGATGCGTTAGAATGTTCGAATTTTACTCTTCTTCGCGGCGAAGGTCTAAATGTTACGTTGCTCCTAGTTAGGATGTCCATACTGTAGGATCATATACCGGGAAAATACACTGACGTAACGTTTAACCTTTATACTTGGAGCAATCACATTATCGGTGGAACACTTCCATTTTTCTGCATATCGTCTAAGAGTGTGCTCCATCCCCTGAAATACATGTCAATTGTTGTTTGCTCTGCAAATATACAGCTGATTCCTTCTTCAGACGTACCCTCAACCTCCTCTCTTGAGGTTAACTGATCTTTTCGGCGTATAGCTGATCACGTTTATTGCTTCTGAATATTCCAATACGTACTGCACCATTTCCCATCATTTACTAGCTAAACATTGTAACGCTTCAGTCCTGACCCACATTCCTTTAGCCTTGACCCGTAATCCATTATCCAAAACCCGCAACGATATGGCCACGACCCGTAGTTCTTTGGTCTTGCCGCGCATACTCTAGTCATGCAGCTGTAAGTAAAATTCCCAAATGTAACAAACTCTACATTGCTTGCATTTACAAGCCCTAGAATAAGTCAGATAATGATACCACAAAAATGTGAATACTTCTAAAGTGAATTCCGTTTTCTAGAGGTGGATACATTAACAGTCCGAGGACAATAAAAAGACGTTCACATATGACATCTACTTCAGTGCACACAAAACCCGCAATTGCTGAGCCTCAAAAGTCGTAAATGCATCAAATGTTGCAGCGTCCATAAACTTATGTTAATACTGATAATTTATAATTTTTTGAACATCGTTTTATTATACTCGGAGTGTTTTCGTATCCACCTCCAGAAACCGGGGTTCAATTAAAGTAGAAATGAGAAACGTTAAGCGTTCACTTTTTCCTGGGATCATATTTTGATTTATCCCAGGGCGTGTGAATGCAAAACAATATGCCTTTTCTGTTACGTTGAGAGTTTCACTTGCAGGTGCATAACTAGATATTGTTCCTCGACTCAAACGGATAACGGATCGTGGTCACTCTTTATGCGTTATGGCTCAANTGACGACCATGATCAAATGATTGCGGATTGACACTGAAGCGTAGCTGGTTTTGCCTAAAGTTTGATGCGAGGTGTAAAATTACTACCGGAGAATATAATCCAATCATGTACAACTTCTGCAGCATGGCATTAGTAATCATGCGTTATGCTGTTCAACTGAAAAACATTCCGAGATGACTTGTAGTCCTTATTCTGAGCAAAAATTACTCATTCTCTCAACAATCTGAAACGAATTGCAAACTGAGTTAAAGAAAAATGTCACGGCATTGATTAACATATCGTCATGTGTGTGGCTCACAAATTGTCAATATTATGTTCACTCATCGTGCATTTATTCAGTTAGCATACTTATGAAACTTGAAAGTAACATTAACTTGACCGGTGAACGGCTTATCAATATTGAGCCCAAATCGTGAGGACTCTCTGTCGAAAAACTTGACATCACAAGTTCAATGCATGCTGCCAAAATATGTTCCACACCCAGCGATTCACATAACCTTATCAGAATCCGCCATTTTCATGTTCATTATGCAAGGCTCATTGCTAAACACTAGTCACAATTTGTACTCTTTCACCCTAGACATGATCGGTTGCATTGACAGTGCTGTATCTCTACGGACACTCACTCCCCGAACGCGAACGATCATCGGTAACCACGGAACCCATTTTGATCAATGTTCCCTGTAAGCACACAACACCAGCGGTGACGCAAAACACGCCTTTGCGTTTCCCATTGGGACTAGTATCTTGTAATTCCTCTCGTGAACGATTTTTCTAAGAAAGAAAACAAGCGTGGTCGTGTCTGTCCAACGACAGTTTTAAGGGGATGTCTACGTACACCCCAGTGTTCCGCAGTACAATGTTACCCAGTACAAACCGTTCCCGTCTAATTGAGTTTACCGTCACCATGAAAACGAAAATGTAAAGAAATCAAATCTGTTGCGTTGAAGTAAACAAGTCAGTCATAAGGATAAAGCTATTTGACGATTCATTTTCCCCAACTCATTTGGTCAAATTAACTGACCTCTTTTATCATTCTTCACTTACGTTTAACTACTGAACTCGTCTACAGCAGCATTTGTTTCCTAATTTTTGGTTCGCATAATGATTGGTAACCGATAAATAATAAAAACATATTTAGTCCAAAAGTTTTGAACACTTGTATAGTAAACGACATACATGGTGAAAATTCGCAACATGTGGCAACATTCCTGAATTGGAGTATAACCAAACAGTATGAAAATGATTTTTAGTAATGGGTTTTGTATATTTGTGTTCCGTAAAACTGGACTGTTAGTTTATCCCACCTAATTTTGAAGATGCATTTGCAGATAAAGTTAGTTATTCATTGGATGCACACCGGACAGTGTTACTACGAAATGACGCAAAGGGCCGAAGCGAAATATGATTTGTTCTCAACAGTAAACTTCCGTGTTATTTATTATTGATGAAACAGATGAAGCCATAACGTAAGCAGTTCTTCTCTAGCTTGGTTAACGATTGAGGCTTATTGTTCATTTTACTTATCCTAAGTGAACAATGTTTGACGAGATTTCAGTTATCTTTTGTTATGACTATCAGCTAGGTTTGACGTACCAAAATTGGAAAATTATGTACTGCGGCTCAGGGCTGTAGTGCTTGTTTTTGTGGTATATTTTTCACGTCGTCGGTTTATTCCATCCACACAAATTCGACTTATTTTCACCAATCGACCGCCCTCGGCAAAGGCACTACTACTAAGAATTTCTTTCATTTACGAATGCATATGCTGAAGTGGTTGATGGGAACTCTTGAAGTTATTTACGGCTGCTAGCCATATGGAGTGCGATAGAGTGCACACATGTAAGCAGCAGGATACTGTCCTAAAGTGAACAATAACTTGACCGTTGACATCATGACCTTGGATGCAAAGGTTACAGAATGAGAAAAATCAATTAAATTGAAATTAAAAGTGTATCCGTTGATTTGAAGTACCCAAGAAATACAATAGTTCTCCGAGAATTATAGTATTATAAATATACAGCCATTGGAGATTGGTCAAATGGAATTACTAAATGACTGGGTAGAGGCGTTTTGACGGTCCGGTGTGGAGGACCAAAAGCGTTTTACTAGTGAAATTTTCTGCTTCCTTAGGGTGTGAGGGTCAATAAACCTATTCAAAAATGTGCCTATGAATATTCACCTTCATACCGAAAGTGAATCCAACGTTCAAAACAAAAACAAATAAAATCAGTTTTTACTACTACTAGTTAATAAATTAAATTCTTGAAGGCAGAAAACGTTTTGAGTTGAATTGAGAAATACAGTAATGTTTTGCTTTATGGAATAATAATTGATAATAATTAATAATAATAATTAATATTAACTTCGGAAGTTTAGGTGAACAGCACTTCCGACGAATGTATAATACCAAACACCAGTTCAATTAAACCGTGACAGACTTCTAGAGTTTTAAGAAATTCCACACTTATGGTCTCAAACTTGTGGGCAGTAGCAGAAACTGTGTCAAGCCTTCTATGCACACCTTCTGGCTTACGTTCGAGTGACAGATTTGAGCCATTATTCGGGGTGTCCGCGTTCCTGAGAAAAGGGAAAACCTGTAGCTTGGTTATAGAACAACGAGTCCGGTGATGATAACATACGGAATTGCGGCCGTCTCATGCAATGCGAAAATTGACTCCGTTTGTTTTAAAACATCCAGCAGATTTATGTACAAGAAGTGGTCATTTGCATACACATGATGATGTGCAGAAAGAGATACTGATGCAAAAAGGACTAGATGAATCTTTCCATAAAGTGTCGAACAATGTCACACAAAAAGTGAGCCTTTTAGAAGGTGACGTGACAAATGATTTGTTTTCCAGTGGACGATTCGCAGGTCTAAGAAATGCATTGTTTATACGAAAAACTGCCAACGGCTTATCTCCGATCATGAACACGTGAGAGGAGCTCAGCTTGATATGATTTAATAGCAACCACCACTACAGCTACACTTGGACTCCCATGTCCCACTACAATTTCTCTACCCAGTACTTGCCTTGATTATTGCAATGGGTACAATCCCTTGAACTTTCTTTCAAAAAAACATCAGTATGGGTCATAAAAGCACAGCAATGTGGGCTTAATCTAACCCTTGTCTCTCTCTTATCTGGTTGACAAGGCAAGCAGTATGTTTGACTGTGCGAAAACGTTTGCTGTTTACCCACCGATACCCGCTTCCTTTCTCAGTCTAAAAAACACACTACTACAAGCGAACACAAAGACTGGCTGCATGTCTTGGCGTCGAATATAAAAGGTCATCTGCACAGTAATCGGAATTGTAGTCGTGCCAGATAAGATGTTTCGGCGAAACAGCCCAACACAATGAGCAGTCATCGTCGGTGGATAGAAGAGATGAGAGGAAACAGGAAATCCTAAAGCGCCTACTTCAATGTTGACAGTTATCGGAAGCAGAATGAATGTTTTCAATCGGTTGCGGTGATGCGTTTCGGGAGCTAGTTAGGACAAACTTGAACTTTTAAGCCACTGGATAAAGGTTTCAACTTATATGCTAATCAAATAACTCATTACGTGATATCTTAAGTCCTCTTGATTGAAAATTAGATACGGGCTATTCAATCTGAGTGCGGAACAAAAGTTTTTTTTCAACTAATTTCATGAGCTAGTTGGCCATACTTGTACATAATCTGCATATCCGCAATCATCCACAAACCGGATTTGAGAGAAAAGTATACATCACTATTTAAATTAATGCTCTAATATCTTCCTTCAGTGTTCCAGTGGTTTATTTCTCCCATTTTTGCCTTGTTTTGATTTAACACATAGCTTCCTAAATTAGATTGTCCGCAACATGTGTCTAAGAATCAGTTACCGTAAATTATTTCAAAACATTTCAAACCACCAACCATTATATTCCGTGCTTTTTGCGTAACTAATAAAACACGGGATGTTATCCTGGGATGAGAATATTACAAGTCTCAACGAGTTTCAAACACGGTTATGGAAGTGCCACACGCCCTTGCCCAATGTGCACTTTATCAGATGATAAGACCATTACCAAAGCCATTGGCATTTTCTTTTGAACTATTCACTCAAATCACCGGGTGTATGAACGATCATATCGCGGAGCATGTGAATTTCGTAATACAAGCGTATAAGTGTACGTTGTCTATGCTTTAGTTCGAGACTCTTGTTGTTTTTGCAGTTTCACATTTCGCTAAAAACTTCATCAATTTTGTCCGCAGAGATAAATCGAACGAAAAATGTTTCACTCACTTATATCGAGGTTTTCCTCGAAGCTAATTCGATGGGACTCTTCTTTAGGCAATCATACCCGTGTTCATCACGTGTGTGTGTGTACGCTTACTATTTGGCTCATCATTTTCCATTATTTCGTCGGAGAAAGACCAGCTTATGTGCAAAACGTCCCACAAAAGTAATCGGATAATATTTTTGCAAGTTTGATCCTTCTTTCCTTGATCTGATCACAACTGTTTAAGCATGTACAACAAAATGCAATCATTATATATCACATCCTAATTTTCATAGGAATCACACAGTCAATACTTGTACAGACTTCTACCCTATTTGTGACAACCTCGTTCACCTGCGTAGCATTCTATCCATTAATCAGTGTGTTGGTTTAATTTATTTTATTATTTGTCATATGTTGATGTTGTTGTTGTTCGTCTTCTTCTTCAACCAAACGTGAAATTAGTATTGATGAAACTGAACCGGGGCAAGAA